GATACACTTATCTGGAATTAAGGGCTGATATTACAATATCTGATACCGTCTAAATGCTTGTTATTATAACATTCTCATTATATTCACATTCATATCTATAAGCAATTACATGCTGAAGCTCGTCACCACAGCATGGTGCACCCCCAGGATGCAGACAGAGGAGATGGCTCCTCCAAATATAGAGGGTAGCTGTGAATGTAATGAATACAAGCTGCCACAAGCTACTGACAACAGGTTGTCCTCCAACCTCACAATTGGTCATAAGGTAAACAATGCTTTACCATGAAATGTGCTCTGTCATAAGCATTTCAGAAAGCCAGGACAGTGTCCAATGATAGGCTTTGCTACTTGCAGTGTTTAATATTTGAGCTCTGCTACTAAATGTGTTCTATCTATCTATTCCTGTTGCTCCCACTTGGAGCTTAAGGCATCCGTGAAACATTGGTTTCACTTCAGTTTCTCGATCTTAGATAATCAGCAGGACTCCATGGGCGGGGGATCAGTCTGACGAAAGAACGCTACTTACAGAGCATGAAATGCTTCATTTCACTTCAGTTTCTGGATCTTAGATAATCAGTAGGACTCCTTGGATGGGGGATCAGCCTGACACAAGACCAGTACTTACACAGGACAACACAAAAACAGAATAAACACAAACATCCATGCCTTGAGTGGGATTCGAACCCACAATCCCAGCATTCGAGCAAGCGAAGACAATTCATGCTTCAGACCTTGCAGCCACTGTGATCGGCCACTAAAGGAGTTAGTTGATGCAAAAGAGGAAACAAATTAAAAATGTATAGTACACAAGGTCTGGTATGCTTAGCAGACCCAATCAATTTTGCATTTTAATCAGCAGTATGAATTTACACTAACTTACGTGAAATCATGGTAAACATCACTGCAATCATCAGGCAGCAAAACTGTCTCCATTATATAGAATGAAGGGTGACACACTGTGGTCAGAGTTAAAATGGCTCCATACACCAATGTTCCCACAGACAAAAGGACTCCCAACACATACAATTGATGGTTCTTGTCTCCAATACAACAATCTAACCTGTAACAAAAAATGAAGATAAACCTACTGTTGTAAGATTTGAGGTCTTCACGGCAGTGACTATGAAGAAAGCAGTCTTCTGGGATTTGGCACCGTGTATATGTGGTGTTAACCGACGTTTCGGAGGAACGTATCGCCTCCATCTTCAGGGTAGAAGAAAAAATATATAAGAAATCTGCAAGCAAAGAGACCGTGAGAACCGGTAAAAGCAGTCTGCTTTCTTCATAGTCACCGCCGTGAAAGCC